GTGACAAACTCATGGCACCTCTTGTGGACCACGAAGCAGCAAACTGCAAAGGAAAAGAGAGAGACAGTCAAACCACTACAGCCAGCAAGGCAGAACAAGTCAGCTGGGCTCCTGGGGATACAGCAGACCGGCTGCAGTACCTTCACAGGGCCAATTTAACTGCTGCGCGGATCCGGCATATCTCAGTGAATTAATGAGGAAGGTGGTTGGGACGAAAAAAAGAGAAAGGACAGATTGAACTCGAGCAGCCATGGCAGGAGACGTGCAGCCATTCTGCACATTGACACTGGCACATCTGACGAGTGATGACGTCACTGGAAACAACAATGTGGTCTAGAGGGTTAACCCCACTAAAACAAGGTTCCTGAAGGAAATCAGCAGGGGTTTAGAAAAGGCAGGTCTTGCTTAGCTCACTTTTAAGACTTCTAAGAAGCAGCAGTATGGATCCAGGTAATGCTTGGGGGAATCCTATGGTACACTGTACAGAGATATTTTTAAGAAGCATGTATTCAAGTTTCACATGAGCGGTATGGTGGTGCCCTGTACAGGGGCTCATTCTGGACAATGGCACCTTCCCCACACTTTTTCTCTGGGTACCTCCCCACCTCCAAAAGGCATGCTGGCTGCGTGTGACAGGCTGTTCTAAGTGGTTCTGGGGTTTCTGAGCCTGTGACAGACTGGCGTCCAGAGGAAGAGGAAGTGTGCTCTCAGTCCTGCCTTCAGCTCCATGCTTCCAGGACAGGAACTGTCACTTACTGTGCACTGTTAATGTTACCCTGACTGAAAGTGATTTCTGATGGTGCACACATGGAGAGAAAGTTTCACATAAAAGATTATGCAAATCCTCAACCTGGACTGCTGTAATTCCTGGAGTACCACAAGGATCTGTGTGAGGACCACTGGTCATCTTCCCCAGATCACTTATCTACTAGCAACCAAATAGGCTAGATAAGCTAAACAGTCTCTCCTCATTTCCTTACGGTCCTAGCGATGAACACAATCCTATTTTAGTGTCACATGAATCGAGTCTAAGATTCCACAGACAGTACAGTCCATGCTCAGACCTGTGCATTGAAATCCCTGGCAGAAACCCCAAGACTTGTTTCATCCTCACCCCCGCTCTAGTTAATGCATACTAGAAGCTGCTCAACAAAATGCTAATTACCTAGGCTGACAAGCTTCTGTGACCCACAATGCTTTAACAAGCATGTCACAATAAATCAAGGCATGACAGGCAGGTGATTCGACTGGAAGCCATCCAGGTTGCCATGCGCTCACATTGTTAATTGAACTCTGTCAACCAGCACTCACAGGCTTTTGCAATGAGCTCACGGACTTGCAATCATTTAGAAACTGCTGGGACCTAGTGGTGACCAGACTCATCGCTCATAATGATGGCAAAATGCCCCCAATTACGGAGCCCTGAACAGAATGCACTTAGCTCGGGAATCAAATAAGTTTCATCCCATACATTTCTCAGACAGACCAGCTGACACTCCAGGCTCCTGAGGTTAGTCATAAGGAGTGAGTGCACGGTTTTCCATATTTATGAGGTAGTGATGTAAGCGCCAAAATCAGACTCTGTCATCCACTATCCATCCAACATCCATGACGCTGGACTAGAAATGGCTGAAACCATATCTCTTATCTGTTCTGAAAATGACTCAAGATCAGAATCAAGAGTTTTTTAAACTGTTCAAATTGTGTTTTGTAAATAATTGACTGATTCGGTATTCAAGGTATAAAATGGCCATTTGACATAACAATGGACTGAAGAGGAAGGTGTGAAAGCAGGTTCCTGCTTCTAAATTCACACCAGCTGAATCAGAGTATAACATCCTACCCTAGGAAGGGTACTTTAATTACATTAACAGCACCCCTGCTCTGTTGCCTTGCCTGCTGGCTGAGCACAGTTCAGAGGCGTTAAGGCAGCCCTGAGTGAGGAGCACTAGCTTCACACGTCACTGAAAATAATTAATCTCATTACGCAGAGCTCTTGGAGGCCGATGTCAAAGAGCCCAAATTAAATACTGCTGACCTCTATCCTTTGAATCCAGTTAGAACTGTAGCTACAGCTAACTACTAACAAGACAGGATGATAAAACTACGCTTAAAGAAAAGAAGCATCCTTTTTGAAAACTATGCAACATCTGATTGTCCGATATTTAATTACGCTTTCAGCTAGCAGCCTCATGTTTTTCAAATACCCAAATATTAAACACAACAATAGGGTTATGTCAACAGTTTAACATTTTATTGCATTTTACCGTGCAGCGCAACAGCTCTCCGAGACATATTTTCAACCCATTAGACTCATAATGGCCGATATTTTCTCTCCAGAGAGTGTAATTAGACTGGTAGGAACAATTAGCACCATGTTGTATAGACAGGCCAGGCACTTATCATGAGATTTAAGAGAACAGTAATGGACCAGGTCTGTTACATTTAGCTATTCTTGCAGAATCCTTCAGAGGGAGAATGTCATTTGTAGTTCAGTAACTTTCTCCTAGAGAAACGCTGCACACATGGGACCTGCCCAGGAACATCGGGCTTACTGTGAGAAAGCACCGGCTACATTGCTCCTCTGCCCATTGATGCAGACGTTGCAGGGAACAGCAGGGTTTCAAAAAAGGGAGGTCTTGCTTAGCTCACTTTTAAGACCATAAGAAGCAGCAGCAGTATGGATCCAGGTAATGCTTGAGGGAATCCTGCAGTTCAGTGTACAGAGATTTTTTAAGTACAGTACCTGTTAATAAAGTTCCACATGAGTGGTACAGTGGCGTGCTGTGCAGGGGCTGATTCTGGACAATGGCACCTTCCTCCCACCTCCAAAAGACATGCTAGTTGGGTGTGGTCGGCTATCCTAAACAGTTCTGTTCTTCCTGGGCCAGAAGCCTATTTGAATGACTTCAAATACGGAATTAGTTTAGATCACAGAGGTCATCTGAGAAAGATCTGCTGGGTCAAGGATGAGCGCCGTGGCACTGAGACACCCCTGGCAATTCGGTCGAGAGTGGAAAACCACCAGGGGGCGCTGCTTTTTTCCGGAACAGATAGTGTTTCATGGGCAGGACATGTGTAAATGGAAAGAGCATTGTCAATGGGGTTCACAGGCTGGCAGTGAAGGGTGTGGGCTTAACGCTCTGACATCAAACCGTGCATCGCTGCGCTCAGACAGCCACCTGCCCCGCGCCACTGCAGGAACCACCACTGCAGACCGAGCACATTCATCCCTCTCCTCTCCCAGAGACACCCCCGTCTTCGGAGAATCAGGACAGAAGGCTGACACCACAGACTGCCAGGACCCCCCCCCTGAGCGTCTTATCGAGCAGCCCTCCCCTTGGACCGCAACTGCACCGAGGGGCTGCCGGCACAAAGCCTCCAAAAAAAGGAGGGAGCCGCACTGAGCAGATGTTTTAATAGGCCAAGATGAGAGATGATGGCTCACAACTGACCTTATTATGATTCCACATTCATGGAAGTATAAATTATGCACAGGCTAAAGTGTAATGTGCCTCTTTCAAATCAATAGCTATTAAATTCTCAGCAACGTCCTGATCCCTCCTGCTTGCACTGGATTGCCTCAGAGCCCTTTATCTGGGGGAGAAATCATGCATTTTTACCATCCATCTCTCTGACAATTTCCCAGGAAGGCCACAGCCCAGGAAAGTATAATCCAACTGGAATCCATCTTCTAGAATCATTATTTAATTTTACTTCAAATGTCAGTTATTTGCACAACAGATTTAAGAAAGGCAATAAGAGTTTTAAATAACTCGTCAGCAAGTCTATTTGATCATTTAATAAACTGGCCTTGGCATAGCTGCCAGTTACTTGAAACGACCTGGAAAAATTATTGCTGTGAACAGTGACATTTACCACACAATGTCTTCTTGTTCTAGTGCTGACATCGTTTTTATTGGATTTACACCCTCAGAAGCTATCCTTGTGACGGAAGAAGAACATACAGCCTAATATATTATTCAGACAGAATTTCTGTTAAGATTTTGCAAGACAGCGTAATAATGTTTTTAAGTCCTTTACCAGTGACAAGTGTTGGGGAATGTTCATTCGATTTGCTGAAATATTGCTACCGTTAATGCAGAGTAATAAATTATTCCTGTTTAGATCTGAGTTTTATTAATGCTGTCTTGCTTACTGCAAACCAGATGGAAACTGATAGCATACAGAGGCTTCATTTTTAATTTAAGGTAGTTTGTTTTAATTACTTCTAAATTGCTTAATCGTATCATTTAATCACATTTACAACAGCAAAACAACAAAGTTGATCGTATTGATCATATTAATGTCTTTCTAAAAAAAAAAAACCCTGTCACATGAAGTCTTTTAATTCCAGAGGTTTGCCATATGAACTATGTCCTCGAATGGTGAATTAGGCCACGGTTCTGTCAGTGTGGAACTTGAAGGAGTGGATCCAGGGTTCTGAGCATCATAGACCCCCTCTGCCCGCCTCCTGCACCAGATCGATGTAAAACCCTGAGCGTTCAGTTTCCATGCCAAATTCCAGTGGGCTTTGTAAATCATATTTCCCTGGAGTGAATTTTTTTAAAAAAAGGCTTTGAATTACACAGACACATGTGTCCTGATAACTGCTTACTGAGTGGCACCGCTGGTGATGAGCGACACCAGCAGAATCGCTTTCACACACACTGACACGACCGAGCAACAGATGTGCTGTTAACAGCGACTGCTTGCTCCCACACTGAGACACTTCTATTGCTGTCAGGTACTCTCTGGTTGCTAAACGCGACAGAAACTGGGATAAACTGCGGCCTTATGAGCCACCAGGTTCGAGTACAGAGGTTTTTTCTCCAGTGTCATTTCATTTTTCCCACTCCCACACGCCGCGTGTCCCCAATTCCCATCGCTCTGGATTGACCACACTAACACCCTGAGGTGCCCAGTGACACTTCTGCCTGAACTTCCTCCACAGTGCTGCGATGACTTTAACTCATTAATTGCCTTGTTTCGTCTGATTGAGACAAAACAGCCTTGTCTCAAGTCTGTCCTGGGAAAAGACAG